AAGTTTTCGCGCCACGAACGTGTCTCATCTCGTCCTCCCGTCGTTGCAGCCCAACTGTAAGGAGACAACGCCTGTGACGGCCAACCCGTTCCAGCTGCTGGACCACTACAAGCAGCACGTGCACACGCCCGCCTACCCGCCCGACGAGCGCTTCTACCCGGTGAACTCCGGCGGCGCCGTCATCGGCTACATGGGACGCCGTAAGCGCGGCCGCCCACCGAAGAACCACATCCTCGACGCCGGCGCCCCCTACGCCGTCCAAACCCCCGTCATCACCGCCGCGCCCGCGTCGGCGGCGGCGGCGTCTCCGCCAGGGGGCGCCGGCATCCCGCGCGTCACCCTCGTGAAACAAGAGGACGGCTACAGCATCGTGAACGGCGAGGGCGCGGCGGCGGCGGCGGGGGCGGGGCGGCGCGGGGGGTTCGACGCGTACGAGACGGGCGAGGCGTGTCCGGACGACCGCTGCCCGTGCCGCGGCCGCCGGCACTTCCACTGCCGGCAGCCGCGCTGCCACTACGTCACCGACCGCGACGACCTGCTGCTGCTGCATTCCAAGGACTTCCACGACAACATCGAGATCCTCGACGGATTCGCGTTCTACGACCGCAGCGTCGACTGCCGCATGCGCCGCTGCGAGAGCAACCGCACCAACCGGCACTTCCACTGCACGCGGCCCGGCTGCGCGTACTCGTTCGTGCGCTACAGCACGATGGCCGTGCACGACCGGCGGCACCGCGATGACCCCGGGCCGACCCCGCCGCAGAAGAAGATCAAGCTGACGGTTCACGACCCGACGTCGCTGCAGACGAAGACGACCGTGATACTGTCGAGTCCGCCGCGCGACTCGCAGGCGTTCCTCAACCCGTCGCAGCACCTCGCCGAGAAGAACACCGTCAAGGCGACCGGGACCTTCTTCCCGCTGTCGGCGCTCACCGGCGATGCGGCGGCGGCGGCGGCGGCGCCCCCTGGCGGCGACGTGGACGGTGGCGCCACCGACGAGGAGCAGCAGTTGTTTTACCCGGCGGAGCTGTGCGGCCGGCCGTTCTGCAAGCTGCGCAAGCGCGAGCACTACCACTGCGGCGCGTGCGGACAGGCGTTCTCCGGACTAGAGCGACTGCGACCGCATCTCGCTCGTCATGAGGTGGACGGAGGCAGACTCGCCGCCGCGCTCGCGCTGCCCCCTGGCGACCACGAGGGGGCGCCGCCGCCGGACGCCGCGACGAGCGACTCGCCGATGGACCTCAGCAACGACGACACGACCCAGGAGAAGTTGACAGAGGGCGCCACCGATAGCCGCGGGTCTTCGCCGGGGGGCGCCACCGAGGCGTCGTCGTCGTCGCCCGCGCTGCCGGCCTATCAGCCGGTGATCCTCACGCACATACTGAACGGTTACCGCCAGGGGGCGCCGCCGCCGCCGGGCCAGCCGCCGTCGTCGAATTCGGACAGCGGTGACTCTAAGAGCGAGTCGTCGAGTTCGGAGACGGACGACGGTGATGGGGAGGATGCGTCGCCGCGGCAACCCGCGACGGCGACGCCACCGCAGCCGCAGCCGCCGCCGCCGCGCCTCCCGCCGCACTTCTTCCAGGTGCTGCCACCTGGATTGATCCCGGTGCCTTTCACGATGCCGCTGGCGTTCGGCGGCGCCTCCGCCGGTCTGAGCGTGCCGCAGGTGCTGCCGTTCGCCGGCCACCACCACCGCACGGCGCCACCATCGTTCGCTCCTGCCGCGACACTCGCGCCGCAGTTTGCCACCTCGACGACGATGTCACCGCAGCTGTGCGCGTCGGCGTGGCAACCGCGTTCCACCGACCCCGCGGCGAAGACCGACATCGGCAAGTTACTCCCACCACCCCCCGCCGCCGCTGCCGCCGCCGCTGCCGCCGCCGTTGCCGCGGAGACGAACAACAATGGGAAGGCGGACGACGCCGCGGCGAAGGTCGCGGTGAGGACGTCGGGCGGGAAGGATGACTTCATGCCGGAGGGCTACACGCGTTTCCGCTACAGCGAGGACTGCTCGTACATGCGCTGCTCGTACCGCAACCAGCTGACGCACTTCCACTGCAGCCGCGCCGACTGCGGCTACAGCTTCTGCGATCGCGCTCGCATCGTGCAGCACACGGCGCGCCACGAACGCCTCGACACGCTCATGGGCAACGAGTTCAAGCAGTTCCGGCAGAACATGGAGTGCGGCCGCGAGGGTTGTGAGGATGCGAGCAAGTCGTCGCACTTCCACTGCGGCAAGTGCGAGTTCACGTGCACCGACACGAGCAAGGTGGTCGCGCACCGACGACAGCACGCGAAACTCGACAACATCGCTGCCGCCGGATTCGAGAAGATCAACGCGATCACCGATTGCGCGCACGACGGGTGCAACTACAAGATGAAGCAGACGCACTACCACTGCTTGAAGTGCGCTTATGCCGTCGTCGGCCTCTCCAGCATGGAGACGCACAAGTTCAAGCATCTGCAGTGATGCGCAGCATCCGCGAATTCCTCCACCGTGTGCGAGGACCATCAGTGATGCACGTATCCACTGTGCCAGCATCCGAGAAACCCCGCCGCTGGTGATTCAACGCTTCCGTGGCGGGCGACCGTGAGCGATGCGTGCTGGCCTCTGGTGACGGGTGACGGCTGATCGCCAGCGACGGGTGCCGCCCTCTGGTGACGGGTAACCGCGGGTCGCCGGTGGCAGGTGCTGCTCTCTGGTGGCGGCAGGACGACTAACAGTTGCGAGGCGATGCGTTCGCTCGCACAGACGATTTAATGGCCAGTTTGATAAACGATACGATGTGTAGCGTTTTTCTTTTTTTTTTACATAGTTTAATTAGGCGATCGTCGTCATCGTTGTTGTCGCAAGATGACGTCACGTCATGACATGCCTTAGAATGACTTCATCTAGTCGTATATCCATTCATGTACATTCTGGTCGGCTCACGACCCGGGATGTATGTATTCTGTACGGAGGGGGTTGTCGTTAGATATTTAATCACATAATTCATGTGCCTATGCAGTAGCGAGATAAAAACCGTGTGATATTGGAGTGGTGTGTTTTTATTATTGAGGATCTATGTGTGTATGCGTGTAGGCACCGTAGTCATTCTGGGTGCAGTGAAGCGATATCTTCTAATGCAAGTGTCAAGTATCAGGTACAAGCTGCAATCAAGTCAGAAGTAGAGGTTCTACACCCGTTAGCCCCCCCCCCCCCTGTTCAACAGTCTCTCTCATCTCTCAGATTTGTGTTGCATTGGTGGGTCGACTGACATACCGCGTGTAACATCCGTTTGGGTGAGAAAGCACGTTTTTTGAAGTGGTATAGAATGAGTTGGAGAAAAATATGCTTCACGTTTTTGACTCGCGGTTTCTATACGTAGTTAAAATTATCATCTCTGCCAAAGCGCCAAGCGTGTCGAAATGTCACCTCCACTGCTCACATGCACTGGGTGCCCCCTAGTGGTTCTTTGTGGCACGATCAGCCATTTTGATTTTTTACTTTGGCAATACCAGATGGTATCTATCGAGCAATCAGGGACTATTTGGACCTCTGGCAAACACCGTTCGTGCCTTTTAACTTCCCTGTATTATGTTGTAGATTAGGGAAGGTCCGGTGAAAAGGAATTAAGTAATGCTGGCTGGGAAGCAGTCAGACGCAGGCCTGTAATGTTGGTTTGTGATGCGTTGCTCATTCGAGTTGGGAGTGCTTAACGTTTAAATCGTGTTCGACGCACATTGGTGCGTCTGCTGATTGTGCATGTATATATATATATATACATATACATATATATATATATATAATATATATAGTGATATATAATATGTACGCACGCAGTACCTAACCATGATTCCATCTTATTATTTCTTGCCATTTTCTAACACAAGGTGGCGTCCCTTGTCGCAGACTGTGCGGAGAAACCAGAGGGCAGAGCGGGCGTGCCTTCCTTGAAAATGCCATCCTAACTATACTGTTAATTCGACTTGAGCCCAAAATAACCAGCTCTTAGCTTTGATATAAATGAGGCATTTTATCGGTAACCTAATCAGTTAATTTTATTATGTACATTTAATTACCTGTGTTTATACCGTTTGTGTTCAAAGAAACGTTTACCGTGTGCCTCTACCAATAAGATATTTAATAATTAATCATGTGCCTCAAACAAGAGTCGATGTGTATATAGTTTAGGTCAGTACGTTTTTGATTAGACGCAGTTCGTTTGCGTCATACCTTCTGTATCGTGTGCTGAGAATTTATATGTATGATATGTTTCCATTTTCCCGCGTCAAAGATCCGTGTGATATGCAGATGACAACGAGGCAGTGGGTGTGTTTATTTGTAAACAGCCACAGGTTAGTAACAGGTGATGATGATAGCCATAGATATATGGTACTTGATAGATTGGCTAGATGTAGGATTGTCTATCTGGTGTATTTCTATGCTAGCACGTGTGTGGTTGAAGGACCATCTACACGCGGTTGTTCATGTTTAGTTTGTGGTCTTAGGCAGGAAGAACTGCAAAGGTATTTGATTATAAAAGCTGTCGTTACGATTGTGTGTAAATGCATTGTAGGTGCGTTCCTGCAGATGCTGTCGATTTCCTTCTGAAATGTTTGCTTGTTTGTTTTTTTCTCTATAATTTAATCACTTACAAGAAATCGCTGATGTTATATGAATAAGTATAGCAATAATTTCATTGTGATATCACCATCAAACGAAATAGGATGAATAATTTATTACTGTTTTGTAATATTTGGGCTCTTATAACCATTCGTGCCTTCGGTGATATACCTTCTAAAATCTATACTTAATAGTGTTGCGACTTAACTACAACGGTTCTAAATCAAATGGAAATCACAACAAACAGACAGAGAACCAAGTAACACATGATCTGTATTACCATGTCGGTCTCCTGATATCATTAGAAGGCTTGTCGTGCAGCATAATATATATGTTATATATATAATTATATATATATATTATGCTGACGTACGACCGGTTTTATGTTGTCAGCTATTCCAACAGGCCATCAGTCCAGTGTCTATCTGCTCAACAGTCGAGTCACGTGTTTGTGTGTGTTTGAAGAAATGTTATCGCCGTCATATGTGCCTTTCGAGTTACCCGGAAGACTGTTTCTGCCGGCATTCGCGAAAAAATCGCTCCTGCTACTGTATCGTTCCCGTACGTCGGCGTTGCACCGGATACAGTCTGATGTCGTGACCACGTGACCTGCCGACGTAACGTGCTCAAGCGGGATCACAGCGACAGGACGGACGTCGGCACGCGCTCACTCCCACCACCAGGGGGCAGAGCGGTGTAGTTACAGTGGAAGGAGCGTGATCAAGTCTGGTCGCTGTACGGTTTTTCTTGTCGATGTGTGTGCGTATGTGTGCGTGCTGTTGGTGCTTTCATTTTAAAAGTAAACATGGTGTGATGCACACAACTACACACGGCTGTCTTCATGGTTTCATTGTTGTTGCAATTATCTATATACGCTCCTGTCTGTGGTTGGCCGTCGTACTCAGAAATAATTATTTTTACCGCAGTTGAAATAATTTAACCGCGGTCTTTTTACCTAGTAAGAGGTTGTGTTACACATAATTCAACCGCGGATAAATTAAATTATGTTATTAAATAATTAAATTATGTTAACTTATGAGTAACAATGTGTAACTTAGGGTAAAAGGGTAGCTTAGGGTAACTTAGGGTAAAAGTCCAATAATTTTACGGCTGTTAAAAATATGTAACGCTCTTTTTCCTGGGGGCGCCTCCATCCAATGGCATTAACCCAGCTTCTTCCTCATCCTTTGGATTATGCGCAAGGTGATTAACAGGGTGTCGGGTATGATAATTAAGGAGTACTACGTAGCAAGTGGCATGTGAGCGCAAAATGACTCATGATGGCAAAGTTGATGAGTACCAGAATGAGAGAGAGAGAGGGGGAGAAAAGAGAAATAATGACATGCATAGCGGAATCGGGGTAAAAGAGAGCGCTGGAATCATAGAAATAATATACTACTATAGGTAGGTCTCTATATATTTCTATGGTTTAAATGGAGGAGATAGATCATATATTAGAGGGCTGCTGGTAGCCTATTTCTCTGTGTCTCGTGCCGTGTGTATTCGAATATGAACCGATAGATGGCGCTTTCAAAGGTTTTGAAAATGGCGTAGATTTTGTGAAGTTTTATTGAATATTCAGCATGTTTTCAACCTATTTTCAGCTCTGTTACACTCGGTATGGAAAGTAGAGAGACTTAAAACAGTCTATATTTACAAGGTAAGCTTTCTCTGTAGCCTTATGATGAAGTTAGCACTAGGCAATGCATAATACCTGATCAGGCAAAATTTTGTCTAATAGTAATATAAACAGGAGTAAGATAATATAGATTCTATATTATCTTACTCCTGATATAAATATAGTCGATTTCAGGGCCCTAGCAGCGGAAGGTGACGGGAAATGCTCGCGCGTTGCAATGGTCAGAAACGGCCGAAAACGGCCGAAAACGGGCGAGTAGGGTCGCTTGAACGCATTTTTTTCGACACTTCCTGTTAACTCACATGTTTATCGGTTGAAATGAACAAAGAACACCCTCACCAGTACCCCTGTCGAGTTTAAAGGGGCTACCCCTACAGTTAAGAAAATGACATAGGTTTCTATGGGCTACATGTTCTCTATCCTTGAACCCATATGTTTGTAGCCACTGTTCGCTAAGGAATATTATTGCTGATAGGGTCTATGTCCCCCAGGGTACTGCCGGACCGTACCCTGGGTACGGTTCGATATACCGGACCGTACCCTGCTAACTATCTAATATACCGGACCGTACCTCGCTTACTCCAAATCGTACCCAAACTGCATGCAGCGCCCCCTTCCCACACTCAGGATATACCACTGCCACAATGCAAGAACTATTTTTACAGTGGGCGGAGCTCCGGGGAAATCCAGCAAATGGCAAGCCAACGGCCGCGAAGTCGTCGCTGAACAAAACATTAGAAATTTCTATGATTTGCATGTTTGTTGGTGGACAAATTTAGATGTTTTAAGCTGAATACACAAAAATGTATCAAAGACAATGTTCGAGAATTAGGTATATTGGCAAGCATCCCGAAAATTCATGATAAATACGTGAACTTAGTTTAGTAAACAGCGTAATGATTTGAAAGTAGTAAATGGGCGCACTATTTCGTATCACTATTTTTATCAAATTTCTCATGAAATAATGATCCGACTTTTATTATCTTTGCAGATTTTATAAACACACACCCTATTACATAGGACAGGAGTAACGGGGTCGCTGTAAAACTTATAGTAAAAAAGCGTAAGAAATTCTTACGGAAATCAGCTTGTGGCAGTGGTAGAATTGAGCCAGAGCGAGAGCGCCATCTGTCGTGGAGTTTGAACCGTACCCTGACTTTCAGCCGATGTCGTAATACATAACGCTTGTCGGCAGGAAACGCGCCGCTTTATGTCCAGTTCATTGTTTCCGATGCGTTCCCGCGAAATTCGTATTCGTGTTTCACTTTCATGCAGTACCGTGCAGGTTGATAACAATTAACACAAGTTATATTATGCAACATTGATAACACAAGTGTTGCAACATGCAGGTTGATAATTATAGCACTGTTGTGCCCGTTGGTGGTGTACTGTTGGAAAGATTTCTATCAGAGCATGAATATTTGAAAGATGTTGAACTCTGTCGGCACAAGCGAGACGTGCGAGATGCGCTGGTTTCTGTGAATGTAGTCGTAGATGCATCGGACGACTTCACGTTTATTTGACAACGGCGAAACGGACCTGTACAAAACAAACGCAATCGATACTCGGACACTTTTAATCTGACTGAAGATGGACAGATTAAACAACGTCTTGTGCTGGAGGGTCTTGAAGCTGATCGAGCAGTTGCGACATGGCACTTGTACTGTCCCGGACATGGCAACTGCCAATGAGTATGCGGTGGCTTCGGGGAGTGCGCAGAAGGTAACTAACTATACTTTATTCCTACTTAAAGAGGCAAGCTTTTACACGTAAGAATATAATTAATTACCTAATGTACAATAACACACAGACCCAGTCGCTGATAGGGTCTATGTCCCCCAGGGTAATATATGTAGTTCGATAGACCTGCTGACGATGGCCGCCATTGTGATCACATGATTTGTTTTCAGCGATGAATGACTGTCTGAAACATCGTTAACTGATTTCAAATAGTTTGTTCTGTTAAATTCGCAAAACAAAAGTTACATGTAGCGAAGTAATTATTTTAACTTGTTTATCTTTATAAAGGCGGCCTTATGTCGGGCTTGCGAGCCGACTCAACTGGACGCAACTGGCTGCAATTCACTGCGACTGCAGTGCTTAGGTTGGGCAACTGCGACGCGACTGCCTGCGACTGACGCTCATAGGGTCTATGTCTCCCAGGGTACTGCCGGAACGTACCCTGGGTACGGTCCGGTATACCGGAACGTACTCTGGTCATGCACTATTTGATATGGTTAGGGTTAGGGTTAGAATTAGGGTTAGGGTTAGGGAGTAGGCGTAGGCGACTCCCTAGACTCGTTAGTGGAGTAGGCGAGGTACGGTCCGGCATATTAGATAGTACCAGGGTACGTTCCGGCAGTACCCCGGGGAACATAGCCCCTCTCAGCTATACTAGCTCGCTTAGGCG